TAAAAATAGCATACCTCTTCCATTGGTTCTACAATCCCCTACCCTGGTTTACCTCTGCTACTGAACCCCAGGACAACCACTCTAAGTGTAAACTCCATGGGGCTAGGGCCTGTTTTCTGTTTGATTCATCACTATAATTTTCAAGTATATATTACCTTGCCTACAGTTGGTGCTCGGGCAATATTTATCAAATGAATGAATTCTATTAGCAATTTTAGCTACCAGTTCCTTAGATTAATAAAAGTCCTACTTTTTTTGTCTGTTGTTTATTATTATTTGTCTACTTTGTTTTTATTTACTTTGTTTTAAAAGTGCCAGATCTTGAGGAAACTACAGAAAATAACCATCATTCATATATTAATGTGAATTCATTGATTTTATGTGTTTATAGTATAAGTTTAGATTAGTCTTATTGAAGAAATGGCTTTTTGACAAAACGAGGTGTTGGATCTTGGTTTTTCTTAAACCTATCTTTGGTGCTTCTCTAGTAACTTTTTTGTTTATTTTCTTCCTGTTACTGCCACAGAACTTCAACAAATAAGTTGAATGTACCAGAGTCTATTCCTTGCTCTTTACCACTCATTCTTTAAGTCTATACCCTAATCTAAATTTAGTTTCTAACCTCACTGTTTGATTATTTGTAATCACATTTTTTTCTGTCCATTTGCTTCTCAATTTCTCACTAACATGTACTGTCATTGACTAGCACGTCCTTGAAACTATCTTCTTAGGATTCCTTAAGATAACATTTTTGTGTTCTCCTTCTCTGCCCTTTTTCCTGATCTTCATAAATAGATATTTCTTAAGGTTTCATCCTCAATCATTGTTTTCTTCAGAAGCCTCAAGAACTTTTGCAGCATCAACTACCAGTACTATATAGATGACTCCCAAGCTTATTCTCTTTTTCATCTCAAGCCCCAGATCCTCATCTTCATCTTCCAGTCAGATAAGTTTGCTTAGAATTCTGTTCATGTAAGATGCCAGGGAACTTGTCTAGGAGACATAGAGGCACTGGCACCCTCTGGTGGAGAGAGTAGAAAGTCATATTTAAGTATCTGCTTGCTTGGATGGAACCTGACAGCAGATATTCCAAGGAAGATTACATTCGTTGAGCATCTACTAAATGCTCTATATTCAAATATATGTAATATTCTAATAAACTATAGAGTACATATGTGAGCTAGCAATAATAATTATTAGACAGATCTTTCTTTGGGTCCTTTAATTTTTTAATAGATCACTTATATGCAACAAAAAAGATTTGGGTTTTAAGAATACTTCAGCATGATTTTAAGGCAGGAAATTATTCTCAGATAGATGCGATGAAGGATAGAATGAGATAAATAATAATCATTAAGGAACTTAGCATGTTAACTGGAAAAACAAGCCATTCATTCTGGAAAAGTGCCTAAATCAAGAGGTAAATCCCAAGATAAGATAATCCCATAGATGTCACAGAGCACTCAGATGCTAACAAATGATATAAAACCTGTGTTTAGAGAAAGTTGTGATCACTGTAGAGAGATTAATATGCTCAGGAATGGCTTCATAAAGAGGAAGGACTTAAATTTATCCTTAAGGAGGTATTTCTCAAACTTCTATAGCACTCTAGTTCTCAATTTTTCCCATGTTAACAAACCATCTATATTTTTATTTCTCCATACTTTTTATATATTGACATATTTTGGGGGGTAAATCCCTTTGCCTTGTCTTAAATCATCAAAGCAATGAAATCATAGGTTTGATGTGCTTTTATGTTTGACATATATTTGTTTTTCTAATATACATGAAAACTACACAGGAAATATTCATTATTATAAAGATAATTAATTCTAGAAAAAGGTCACTTAAAGGAAATCAGTCTAACTAAAAAGCGTTAGTCATTCATATTCAATTTTGATGCAAAAGTTTGATTTATAAATGACACCTAACTTAAGAAAATAAGTGTAATAGATTATAAGTTGTTATTGCAACTATGAACAATTTCAATAAACAAAACATTATTTAATTGAACATTGAGAATTTTTCTGAGAAAATAATTTAACTTTTGTGGCAGGAGCATAAATATTAAAAGACTTCAAAATAGACTCTCTCTTATCTTTTAATATTCAAATTATTTTTTCTTTTCTTTTTTTCTTTTTTTTTTTAAGATTTTATCTATTTATTCATAAAGAGAGGTGGAGACACAGGCAGAAGGAGAAGCAGGCTCCTCAAAGGAGCCTGATGTGGGACCAGTCCCAGGACTCTGGGATCATGACCTGAGCCAAAGGCAGATGCCTAATCACTGAGCTACCTACGTGCCCCTCAAATTGTTTTTGGGCAACCTATTGTGTTATCTTGTGAGTTTTCTCTCATTCAGTTAACTGATTTAATTCTTCTAGATCTTTATTTATTAGTGGATTTGCGTGTGGTTTGAGCAGCTATCAGATATTGTTTTCATTGATTTCATGAAATCCTGCTGTTTTGCTCAGACTTGCAACTTGGCTTTCCAATAGATTTGATTAGTGAGGATTTTGCCAAGTAGAAAGAATGCTTAAGTCAGTTCTCAGTTCAACAGTGAATATTTTGGTGTTCAGATGACTTGATTTCCTATGCATTCTTTAACTCTAGGAGAACTTTTTCAAATTTTTTATACCAGAGGAACACTTAAAATAATTCTCAAGTTTCAGGGAACCTCTGGATAAAAATATCTAAATCTCATGGTATGTCAGTGAGATCATTTAATTATAGATATTATAATCCAATAATATTTGCCAATGTTCACTTAAATAAACAATTATAGTTTCTTGAGAATCTGTGCAACCAACTTCTTAGCCTATTCTTTTGTAGGTTCCCTCTTCTCCACAAAGGATACCAACTCCAATGAAGGTTAGTGGTATAGATAGAAGATACTTTAGTTTTTCCTTTTTAAAATTTCCTACTTGATTTCTTTATATCTTACCCAAGTAGGGGTAAAAGTCTTACCACAAATTTCTATCATACTATTGAGTATGCAGGGCTATTATGATATGTGATATATGGTAGGTACAAGGATAGGTTTTTTTCTCCCTATTTAAAACTAAAAATGACTTTTTAGACAACCTTACTTAGAAAGAAAAAGAAAAAGAAAGTAGTTTACTTTCTTTCTTGAAATTAATCTTTCTTTCCTTTACATGAATTTGAAAACTTACAGGCAAATATAATATGTTTTTGTTAAATAACTGGTTTAAGCCAAAATGGGATGTAATTGTTCTAAAGGTAAACTTGTTAGACTTACTTAAATAAAGTTTATGAATTTAATTAATGTTGTTCTCAATATGAACATAAATGAACAATGTTGAATAGTAAAGTTAATAAAACTGCATGTCAAAGCAATATAAATAAAATTATAGCCTAAGACACAATTTTATATAAGACTTTGAAAGAAGGCATTTTTCTTAATGAGTGGCATGATCAGGCTTGAAAAAGATAATTGTAAAATTAATATATACATGTATTGGTTTCATGATCACTTTAATAGGCTTATGAATGAGTTTTAATTTTAATTAGTATTTTGGAGCTAAAAATAAATAAGTTTATTCCTTTTTGTTTGTTTATTTCTTTAATGTGAAACCTATGCCTTTTGTTGTTGCATAGTTACTAGACTCTGGGTTGAGTGTGAGATAAGTTCCTAAGGATTTTATTTTCAACTGAAATTAGACAATTTCTGTTCTTTTCCTTCATGCTTCTTAAAAAAATATTTTCTCATATATATAAGAAGACAAAAATGGCAGCCTCCCTATACTCCACTTCAAAAACTGATAATGGACTCAACCAAATGATTGTGGTTCTGCTTTACAAGACTAAAAGAACAATTGCTAATGGGACATGTTGGTCACTCTGCATCATCTTTTGTAGAACCCCCTAGTGTTCTACAGAACTCCATTTGAGAAACCCTGTTCTACACACTTGGATAATGAATACTAGGCTGATGTGAACCTCTGTACATAATTATTAACCTAAATTTTTTTTCAGTCTATCACTTAGGTCATATCATGCATATTTTGTAAAACACTGCCTAAAAGGACAAGATCTGGATATGTTTAAAAGAGGGAGAAGGGCATGCCAAATGAGGAGAATAATTACTAATGGAGCAGGAGATTCTGTAATAAATAGAACTGGGTGACAACAACAAAGAACTCATAGATGACAATAGAAAGGCTTGAAATTGGGGGGAAATTATGTTTGAATTGTAGAGTCCTTGAACTAAAGAAGAAAACAGTCTTAAAAATCCACTAAATTTTGAGAAATGAATGAAACTGATGAAAGAGGTTAGAAAGAAGATGAGTCTGGACAGGCAAGCACAGATATTGTTGTGATAATACATGCAAGTAGTAATGAGAGCCAGAACCAGAATAGTGACAATAGATATGAAGGAATGGGATGGGTATGAGACACATGATGAGTAGAATTGATGGTATCAGGGATCAAAATGACAATAAATGTATTTACATTAATGGTGTTTCCATTCTCAGAAATATTAGAAATGTAGAATCAGGTGAATTTTTTTTTTGAAGTGCTGCTAGGGTGAGCTATTTTCCTATGCCTACCAGCCAATCATTTGTCTCAGCCTCGCCTCCCAACACTATTCCTATCATTTCATAAAGCAATACAGACCCAGCAGTGTCAGATCCTCAGACTTTTCAAGAGAAGCTAGAAACTAGCTACTTTGTAATACCTTCCCATTTTTAAATTAGCAATTACATTTTTTTGTTGTCGTTAACAAATAAAACATACTATGGACTAGACTTGGTTGCTAATTTGCAACCTGTGTCTAGAATTCTATGTGCTGCTGTCTAAAATCACTTCAAAATGCACACTGAACCAAGAGGTAATATAATCCTTTTGAAGCCTCTCTGCATAATTCCTAGCAGGAATTAATTAGCAGGAAGCTTGTAGAAAGGCTTTTTGTAGTGGCTAATACTTTCCTTTTGTTGAAATGTTGATTTTAAAGTTACAAGCCTTTTTCTGCTTCTTCCCAGCCAGGTCTCTAGACAAACTTTATAACTTTGCTGACTGTTCTGGACTCCACCTGATATTTGCTCTAAATGCACTGCGTCGGAATCCCAACAACTCCTGGAACAGTTCTAGTGCCCTGAGTCTGTTGAAGTACAGTGCCAGCAAAAAGTACAACATTTCTTGGGAACTGGGTAATGGTAAGAAAGGATGTTATTTCCTCTGAATTGACAATAATAAAAATAAATTGGCCTGGGATATAGCCTCAGTCAGACCATCTGTAGTGTACTGGCCCAGAAAACACTTGGGAAGTTTGGCCACTGAATTGACCTTCTAAATAAGAAAAGACCACATGGTGAAGTACAGTGGATTTAGTGAATCTACACCTGCTTCTTGGAACTGTGGATATAATTTGCTGTGTTGTTTCACTTCATATTAAGGATGACATAAGAATCATTTAAAAGAATACTATTGGCCAAAGGATCTGAATAGACATTTCTCCAAAGAAAAATTCTAAGAGGCCAAAAAAAAACACATAAAAAGATGCTCAACATCATTAGCCACCAGGGAAAAGCAAATCAAAACCACAATAAGATAGTACTTCACATCCACTAGGATACCCATAATAAAAAAAGGATAATCACAACTATTGGCAGAGATGTGGAGAAACTGGCACCCTCATACACTGCTGGTGGGAATGTAATATGCTGCAGCCACTTTGGAAGACAGTCTTTGAGTTCCTCAAAAAGTTAAGCATAGAGTTGCTATATGACCTAATAATTCCACTCCCAGGTATATATTTAAGAGAAATGAAATATATGTCCACAGAAAAAGTTATATACAATATTCTCAGTAGCATTATCCATAATAGCCAAAAAGTGGAAACAACCCAAATGTCCATCAACTGATAAATGGATAGGGATGCCTGGGTGGCTGAGGGGTTGAGCATCTGCCTTCAGCTTGGGGAGTGGTCCTGGAGTCCCAGATCAAGTCCCACCTCAGGCTCCCCATGGGAGCTTGTTTCTCCCTCTGCCTATGTCTCTGCCTCTCCCTCTGTGTCTCTCATGAATAAGTAAATAAAATCTTTTTTTAAAAAACCTAATGAATGGATAAATAAAATGTGGTATAGCCACATGTTGGAATATTATTTGGCCATAAAAATGAAATGAAGCACTGACACATACTACAACATGGATGAACCTTGAGAAGATTATGTTAAATGAAAAAACCCAGTCACCTATGTCCAAAATAGGTAAATCTCAAGAGACAGTAGATTAATGATGGCCTAGGGCTAGGAGTGGCAGAGATGAGAGGGAACTGCTAAAGGGCCTGAAATTTCTTTTGAGGGTGATAAAAATGTTCTAGAATTTGTTGTGCTGATGATTGCACAACTGTGTAAATATATTTAAAACCATTGGATTAGACATTAATTTGGTGTATTGTATAGATATGAACATCTGGATTATTTCTTTTTTGGGCTTTGATAAATAAAGCTGCTATAAAGATTCACATATAAGTCTTTGTGTGGATATGTGTTTTTATTTCTCCTAGGAAGATACTTGGGAAGGGAGTAGATTTGCTAATTCATATAGTAAGTTTATGTTTATTTTTTGACAACTGCAAAACTATTTTCCTAAGTAGCTGTACCATTTTACATTTTCACTAGCAATGTATAGGGGTTCTAGTTTTTCTACATCTTTGGAAACACTTGTTAATGGCTGTCTGATTATAACCATTCTAGTGAGTTTGAAGGAATATCTTAATATGGCTTTAATTAGTACTTCCATAATGACAAATTATGTCGAGGGTCTTTTCACGTGCTTATCAGCCATTCTTACATCTTATTTGGTTAAATGTCTACTCAAATCTTCTGCCCTTTTAATTGAATTACTTTATTATCAAGTTGTAAACGTTTTAAATATACTCTGGATATCAGTTCTTTTTCAAATATATGATTTGCATATATTTTCCCCAATCTATAACTTTTCTTTGTACTTTCTTTATGGCATTTTTTGAAGTCCAGAAGTTTTGAAAATTGATAAAGTTCAATTTATCAGCTTTTCAGTTTATGGATCATACTTTTTGGTATCATTTCTTTGCCTAACCGCAAACTATGCAATTTTTTTCTATATTTTCTATATTTTTCTAAAAGTTTTATAGTTTTTGCTCTTACATTTGGTATAAGATCCATTACAAGTTAATTTTTGTGTATGCTATGAAGCTAGAGTCTAAATTCATCTTTTTGCATATGGATATCAAGTTTTTGCAGCCCTACTTAAAAGATTATCCTTTCCTATTAGATCCTCTTAACACTTTTGTAAAAAAAAATGATAATGGATTTATTTCTGGACTACTAATTCTGTTCCACTGATCAGTATATCTGTCCTTGTACTAGGATTCCATTGTCTTGATTACAATAGCTTTGTAATAAGTTTTGAATTTAGGAGGTATGAATCCTTCAACTTTTTTCTTTTTTAAAATTGTTTTTGCTATCAGAGGTGTTTGCATTTCCACACAAATTTAAAGGTCACTTTTTAAATTTCCTCAACAAAACCTGATGGAATTTTAATAGAGATAGCACTAAATCTATAGATCATTTTGGGGAGAATTGCCAGCTTAATATTGAGTCTTCTTGTCTGCAAACATACAATATCTCCCCATTTATTCAATTTTTAATTTCAGCGATGTTTTGTAGTTTAGTGTACAAATTTTGCACTTATTTTGTCAAATTGAATCTTGAGTATTTTTTTCTTTCTCATGCAACTGTGAATGGAATTATTTTCTTAATTTTATTTACGACTTGTACATTGCTGGTATTTAGAAATATGAATGATTTTATATGTTGATCTTTTATCCTCCAACCTTGCTGAACATTTTTAGATCTTGTGTTTTCCTCCTGCACATGTGTGTGAGTTGTTTAGGATTTTCTATATACAGGATATGTTGTCTGAGAATAAAGAGAGTTTAATTGCTTTCTATCCAATTTGGATGCTTTTTATTCCTTTCCTTGCCTGACTACACTGGCTAGAACCTCTAATACAAGTGCTGAAGATAAGTGGCGAGAGTACACATTCCTGCTTGGTCACTGTCTTAGGAGGAAAACATTAAATATTTCACCATTAAGTATGATGTTTTACCATTAAGCATTCAGTATTTCATCATCAAATATGTAGGTTTTTCTAAGATACTATTTATCAAATTGAGGAATTTCCCTTCTATTCATAGTTGTTGAGAATATTTATCAGGAGTGAATGTTGGATTTTGTCAAATGCCTCTTTTTGCACTTATTGAGATGATAATGTGTTTTTGGTCATCATTTAATATGACATTTTACATTAGTTAGGTTTTTGATATTAAATCAGTTTTGCATTCCTGGTATATATCCCACTTAGCTGTTGTAATGCTTCTAAAACATTGCTGGATTCAGTTTGTAACTATTTTGTTGGGGATTTTTAAATCTATATTTATGAGGAATATTCATCTGTAATTTTCTTTTCTTGTGATATCTTTGTCTGACCTTGGAATCAGGGGAATATTACCCTCATAAAATGAGTTGAGAAGTGTTTCCTCTTCCTCCATTTTCTGGAAGAGTTTATGAAGGATTGGTATTATTTCTTCCTCACATATTTGGTAGAATTCACCAGTTAATCCATCTAGATCTGTGCTTTCTTTGTGGAAATATTTTTAATGACCAATTCAATGTCTTTTGTTGTTATGGGCCAATACAAATTTTCTATTTCTTTTTTAGTTGGTTTTAGTAATTTATATTTTTCTTGAAAATCTTTCATTTTATCTAAGTTGTCTAAATTAATGGCATAAAGTTGTTCATAGTCCCTTATCCTTTTAAGTTACTGTGAGGTCTTAGTTACTTCCTCTTACTTACTTCCATGTCTTAGTGGTGTTCCTTCTTTCATTTCTAATTTTGGTAACCTGTGACTTTTCTCTCTTGTGTTTTGGTCAGTCTAGCTAATGGTACGTCAGGGTTTTGTTTTTTTGTTTTTTTTTTTTGTTTTTTTTTTTTTTTTAGATTTTATTTATTTATTTGAGAGAGAGTGTGGGCACGCACATGTGAAACAGAGAGCAGGAGAGAGAGAGAGAGAATGAGTGAGGGAGAGAGAGGGAGAAGCAGATTCCAGGCTAAGCAGGAAGCCTGACTTGGGCCTGTATCCAGGACCCTGGGATTGTGACCTGAGCTGAAAGCAGATGGTAACTGACTGAGCCACCCAGGGGCCCCCTGGTATGTCAGTTTTGTTGATCTTTTCAAAGAAGCAACTTTTGCTTTTAAGATTTTCTCTATTTTTTTTAATGTCATTGATTTCCACTCAAATTTTTATTATTTCATTCCTTCTTGCTTTGGGTTTTATCTTCTTTATCTGCTTTCTTAAGATAGAAACTTAGATAATTAATTTGAAATCTTTCTTTCCTAATATAGGAGTCTTTTTTCCTCCTAAACAACAAAAATATATTTTCTCATTGTTCTGGAAGCCTAAAGCCTAGGATCTAGGAATTAGCAGATCTGGTTTTCTTCTGAGGCTTCTCTTTTTGGTTTGCAGATGGCCAACTTCTCACTATTTTCTCACATGACCTTCTCTCTGCGCATCCCTAGTGTCTCTACATTTTTTAACACATTTTTGGGGAGAGTTTTAGGTTTATAGCAAAATTGAAAGAAAGTATATATTTCTCATATATTCCCTTGTTTTCCCTAGAGTATCAAATGGTTGGAATTATACAGTATGTAGCCTTTCACATTGGCTTCTTTCACTTAATGTTATGCACTTAAAGTTCTTCCATGTCTTTTCATGGCTTGTTACCTCATTTTTTTTTAGTGCTGAATAATATTCCATCGTGTAGATGTACCAGAGTTCAAAAATCCATTCACCCACAGAAGGACATCTTCATTCTTTCAAGTCAACAATCATTAATATAGCTGCTATAAATTCATGTGTAAACAAAAGTGAAGACATAAAATTTCAACTCCTTTGAGTAAATAAGAGGGAGTATGATTGCTGCATTATATAGTAAAAGGATATGTTTTATTTTATAAGAAACCACCAAACTCTTCCAAAGTGACCATATCATTTTTCATTCCTATTGCTCTACATTCTACTTAGTTTTTGGTGCTGTCAGTGATAACAAATTTTGGCTGTTCTAATAGGCATGTAGTGGTATTTAGTTGTTTTAATTTACATTTCCCTGATGACGTATGTGGAACATCTTTTCTAAATTTTTTCATCTTTTCATATTTTTATTTGTTACCTGTATATCTCCTTTGGTGAGGTGTCTTTTGAAGTCTTTGTCCCATTTTTAAATCAGGTTGTTTCTTTATTACTAAATTTTAAGATTTCTTTGTATACTTTTTTCTTTGTATATTTTGGATAACAGTCCTTTATCAGATGGGTCTTTTACAAGTATTTTCTCCCAGTTTGTGGCTTGTCTTCTCATTCTTATACTGTTGTCTTTTGCAGAGCAAATGTTTCTAATTTTAATGAAGTCCAGCTCATCAATTATGGCTTTCACGGATTGTGCCTTTGGTGTCATCCCATATGCTTTTGTATATTATATTTTCATTTTCATTTCATTAAAAATATTTTCTAATTCCCCTTGTAATTTCTTTTATGGCTCATGGATTACTTGTTTAACTTCCAAATATTTATAGATTTCTCAAATTTCTTTCTATGGTTGAATTCTAGTTTAAATCTGTTGTGATCAGGGCACATACAGTCATTATATGATTTAATCCTCTTAAATAGATGAGACTTGTTTTATGACTTATCATATGGTCTATCCTGAAGGATGTTCTATATGCACAAAAAAAATAATGGGTAATCTGTTGCTGAATGGAGTGCTCTATAGATATCAATCAGGTCAAGTTGGCTGATAGTGTTATTCACGTTTTTTATGTCAGTGCTAATTTTCTGTCTAGTTGTTCTATTTATTATTGAAATTTTGGTATTGAAGTCTCCTATTATTGTTGGATTTTCTATTTTTCTCTTCAGTTTTGTTTCATGTATTTTGCTGTTCTACTGTTGTTTATATATGTTTAAAATTGTTATATCTTCCCAACAAATTGACCCTTTTATCATTATAAAGTGCCCCACATTATCTCTAGTAACATTGTTGTCTTAAGTCTATTTTGTCTGATATTAGTGTAGTCATTCCAGGTCTCTTATGGTTACTCTTTGCATGGTATATCTTTCTTCATCCTTTTACTTTCAACCTATTTGTGTCTTTTACTTTGAAGTATGTCTCTTTAGTTGGATCTTAGTTTTTTATTCAACCTGACAATTCCTCCTTTTAATTGGAATGTTCAATCCATTTACATTTAATGTGATTGTTGATATGGTTGAATTGACATCTGCCATCTTGCTGTTTCTCATTTATTTCATTTTTTTTGTTCCTCTGTTTCTCCTGTACTACCTTTTTATGCAGAAGAGGTAATATCTAAGATATTACTTTAATTTCTTTTTTATTTTGTTTTACTTATTTTCATAGTAGTTTCTTATTGCAATACATCTGAACTCTTTACAATCTATTTTAGAGTAATACTAACTTAATTCCAGTTAGCTATAGAAACTTTGCTCTAGTAGAACTCCATTTCCCCCTCCTTTGTGCCATTATTATTCCAAATATTACATTTTCATATGTCATAAGCCCAACAACACAGGCTGATAATTTTTGTTTTATGTAAGTTAGTTAAGCTAGTTAAGAAAAGAGTAATGGATATTTTCAAGTGTCTTTTATATTTACCTATGTAATTGCCATTACTGGTGTTCTCTATTTTTTTGTGTGGTTTTGAGTCACCATCTGGTGTCATTTCCTTTCAACCTAAAAGACTTCCTTTCTCATTTCTTATAAGGTAGATTTTCTCACAACAAATCCTTTCCTTTGTTTTTCTGGTTAAGGTCTAAATTTTGCTTTCAGTTTTGAAGGATAGTTTGCTACATATAGAATTCATGGCTAACATTTTTTTCATTCAGCATTTTGAATATGTCAGGCTACTGTCTTCTGGCCTCCATTATTTCTGGTAAAAATTCAGCTGATAATTTCCTTGTGTTCCTCTGTATATGTGAAAAGTCATTTCAGTTCCAAGATTTCCATTTGATCATTTTTATAATTTCTATCTCTTCATTTATATTTGATTGGCCAAAAATGTCATACTTTCCTTTAATTTTTTATTGTTCCTGGTAGTTCTTTGAACATATTTATAGTAGTAGTTTTGAATTCCTTGCACATGAAGTCTAACATTTGGGTACCTTAGGAAACAGTTTCTATTGACTGTTTTTTTGTTGTTGTTTATAGGTCACACTATCCTATTTCTTTGCATGCTGTGATTTTTGTTGTTGTTGAAAACTATACATTTTAAATACTATGTTGGAACAACTCTGGATTCTGAATCCTCTATCCTAGAGGTTGTTTTTGTTGTTTCTTTTTTCTTTGTTTAGTGACTTACATGGAATAATTCTGTAGAGTCTATTCCCTTGAATTGTGTAGCTGCTGATATAGCTTATGTTTTTCTGTTTTTTAATAATTTCTTAAGGCCAGCTTCCTAGAGGTTGTCCCTGAGTCAGCATAGCTTAATGGTAAGACAATGATTCATTAGAGGTTGTGCTTACCTTGTACCAGTAAGGCTTCCATCCTTTGCCAGTGTGTAAGTTGGAGGACACATTCCAAATTTAAACAGTTTATAATTCTCACTGGCTTTTCCTTTCTGGCATGCCTTCTCATGTCTCCTTTATAAATGTGCTAGGTTTCACATTTATCTGTGAGTACATGGATTCTTAGTGCCCTCTCCAGTCTCTCTTGAGTATGCACAGCCTTCTAGACTATAAGGGGTATGTGTGAGCTTATCAAGGCCCACTGTGACTGTCTTATTCCCCCAAATCTCCCTGATAAATTCCTGGCAAGTCTGCTGGTCAATTTCTTGACCCTACCAGTATCAAAACCTCAAGGTAGCCACAGTACTTGCCTTACCTGGGGCATTTGCTTAATTCCAAATTCAAGTTAACTCTCTCCAGCAGTGTATTTGCTGGTTTTTAGGACTTTCCTTCCCCTTTAACAACTACTAAGTTAATGGAAACTAAAGGAGGATGTGGTGTTCTAAATTTTTTCACCCAGCTACTTTGTTATTGAACATTAAGATTTTTCTTTGGCTACAATGGCCATCTTTATAAAGCCTTCCTTTCTTATTATTTGTATCAGTTTCCTAATTAGCCTGTTCATAACAAATTACCACAAACTCTGTGGTGTAAAACAACAAATGTATTCTCTCACGGTTCAGGGAACCAGAAATCCAAAGTCAGCGTTGACAATGTTGATTCCTTCTGGGGGCTCTGAGGGAGAATCTATTCCATGCCTGTTTCTCAGCTTTCTGTAGCTGCCAGCAACCCTTGACATACATAGCAGCATCCCTCCAATCTGCCTCTGTTGACACATGGCCCTCTTCTCAGTGTATCTGTGTACCTGAATCAACCTCTCCGTTTGTTCTTTTATAAAGACACCAGTCACTGGATTTAGGGCACACCCTAATCCCATATGGCCTCATCTTAATTACATCTTCAAAGACCCTATTTCCAAATAAAGTCACATTCTGAACTTACAGGTAGACATGAACTTTGGGGGACACTATTCAACCCAGTAGACCATTCATTATAAAGTATCACCCAAAATCAGCATGGCCTCTCTGTTGTGGATTATGTGAATTTATGTGAAGATTAGTTTGAAAATAGTAGAATGGTAAAATGGCACTTGACTTTTTGTTATGATGTTCCTCAAGCTCTAAACTAGCTTACACTCTCTTTTTGGTTATTTTATTCACATTGTTGAGGAAAAAAGGCAGAGAGATCTGTGGACAGGAAAGGGTTGGCAGAGCCTTACCCTTCTCAACTCTGACTTGCATGTCTGCTTTTAATCTAGAGCCAAATAACTATCGAATCATGCATGGCCGGGCAGTAAATGGCAGCCAGTTGGGAAAGGATTACATCCAGCTGAAGAGCCTGTTGCAACCCATCCGGATTTACTCCAGAGCCAGCTTGTATGGCCCTAATATTGGGCGGCCCAGGAAAAACGTCATCGCCCTCTTAGATGGGTAGGTCATATTTTTTAGCAGTTCTTATAACACTATTCATAATGTAGTGAATTAATGTATTTATATTTTTGCTGGTTATTTCTGGTCTTAGGAAAGATGGAAAGACTTTTTCCATAGTGACTTCTCCAACTCTAAATCAGTGATTCTCCATCAAACAGCAGAAGAGCTTTGCATCTCTCCAAGCCTTCCATAGTCAGCAGAAGGTGGTGGGATTGGGGATGGATATTACAATCTCCTGGGCAGGTTGGAAGAGATAACATTGTTTTAAAATCACATTTAATATTGCAGCATTTCATATCATTTTATATTTTTAAACAGCCAAAATATTTTTAGTCTATTCTTGTGACCACTTATAGAAAATAATGCTTGACAATCCAGTATAGCTGGATTAAAAAGTGGAGAAACACCACTGCTACTTGTAGATTAAAGCATTGCTTAACTGACAGATTCATTAGCCGGTATTCTAGAGAATTGCTACCATGTGATTAACTTGACTGAATCTAATAATCATTAAGCATTGGTTGTGGATGAGGCACTATGTTAATGCTCCCTGCCCCGTCATGTTGGTGGGGCAGGCACAGATTGAATCCATGCAGCTTAGATTCAGTTATATAGGGTCAGAGGGAATGTCTGAGGCAATGGTATGAGAAAGGCTAAAGCTATGTGTTGAGTCCAAGACCCAAAATGGAGATATGATTAGAGCAGGAAGGGTGAGAACTATAAAGTTGGGAGAGTCAGGAGTTCCTCTAGAGCTCAGAGTATGCACCAAGACACACCTATAATGGTGCGATCTTGTCATACTCTGGAATAGGTATGGTTATTCCTGAAAATTGAAAGGTAAGATATTTTCCAGTGAAGTGCACATTCCAAATGAGGTTAGATAAATGTTATACAAGTACAAACAGATTATCTGAGGAAAGAAACCTTTGGCCAACCTCCAAGATGACCCTTGTAGCTTGATGTCTCTTATAATTCTCTCCTTCCTTTTGTGATGGCTTAGTTTTGATCTAAGGTAATGAACATAGCAGACGTCACTGAAGGTTTGGGAAGGCACAGGGACTTACACTGTAATAGCATTAACAACCTGAAATTTAAGTTTAGGCATTTTCTTTTTTTACAAAGAATCCCTAAGCCCTTAGTTCAGTTCCTATTCTTTCCCTACCCTTTTCTTTTTTCCTCTTCTCTCTCAGGAGCAGCTTCCCCATTTTTTTACACAGCAATTTCATGACCTTGGCCCCTACCCACAAATATAGTCCTTGGTCTCTTTTTTCATACTTTCACTGAACTTTAAAATTACTATGTGTGTGTGATGGAGATGAAGAGGTTGCTTTCATTTTATGTGTTACAATTCAGGGATAAGAACCACAGATTTAGGACTTTATTCATAGTTCATAATACATAATAAAGTAAGGCCAGTAAATATCATTTTAATCCATGTAGTTATTCTTTTGGATTGTCCTTTTTCTTTAATGATTTGATCAGTGTATTTTCATGGAACTGACAATGACCTTACAAGGTCAATCATTCATTCATCCTGCAAATATTTCTTGAGTAACTGCTATGTCCTGGTATTACATTAGGCACTAGGAATGTAATAATAAACAAATCAGATACTTTCCCTGCCCTCATATAGGATACAATATGGCGGAGACATAGAAATTAATTAAATGATCATAAAACTAAGACAATACCAAGGAAAGGTACATGGTGTTTGAATGACTGTAAGGGATGGGATTTGATTGAGTTAGGAGGTCATGGAATATGGATGGCCCACTTCCCCATATATCCAAAAACTAATAGGACTCAAGAGACTAGAGAAAATCACGTAGGGAAAGGAAAGGTACTGATAAGCACTTTTAAAATGTTTATATGCCAAGAAAAAAATGGAGATTTATCTTTCTCAATGTGTATGTACTAAATATACAGTGAATTATAACTTGAAACACGTAAATATTCCCAGCAACTCAACCAACAATAACAAAAATGTCAGCACTCTAAACTACCAGCTCTGTAGTCTTTTCTAGTACTTCTGGTTATACAGATATAATTTCACATAGTTATGATCATCCTATATGCATCATTTTGAGTACTGATTTTTTACTCATTGCTTTATATTGCTGTTTTCTTATTTCTACATAGTTCTCATATTTTTCATTCTTAATAGCAATAAAATATCCCACTGCATTAATGTACCAAAGTCTGCTTAAACATTCCCTCACTGTTGGGCATTTGGGCTGTTTCCAGTTTTTGTCTGTAATATATAGCATAGCTATAAACATCTTTATACAAATAGGTTTTTTATTTCTTTTGAATTATATCCTTGGGCTATATTCCAAAAAGTTGTGTTTCTGGGTCAAAGTACATGATAATTTTTATGGCTTTTATATTTGTTGCCAAATTTCTTTTCAGAACGACTTCACCAGGTTGTAGGGCAGCAATGTATTAGTATATCTTTTCCCCGCCAAGACCCCACAGCAGTGATTATAGTCATTTTTATTAATTTACTCTATTTTAATTAATGCAAGCCTGTGCCTCATGGCTGTTTAAATTCGAATTCTGTTAACTATGAAAGGAACTGAACATTTTCCAAAACCTTATGTTACCTCCTTTCCCCCATCCCAGGTTTGGTTAATGACACTATAACCATATGGCCTGAGGTGCAGACCAGGAGGCCATTTTACATTCATTCCTCTCCTTTGTCCACATAGTCCATTAGATAGTTATTAAATTCTGTTTTTTCTGACTTCTTAGTAACTCATATTCTATCTTCTTTTCATTTTTATTTTAAACCTTATCCTTCTTCCTCCTTAGTGGTTTCTCTATAGCTGTCTCAGATTCTATATATATCCATAGATTTTCCAAGTAGATTTTTAAAAAATAAAACATGTGGTCAAATCACTCTTGCTTGAAATCCAACACTTTCACCCTGGCCTGTAGGGTCCAGTGCCTGCCTCACTTTGCAGCTAGTAATCAGCTATGCCTCTGTGCACAACCTGCCCTTCTCTAAATCAATGTATATGTATGTTTTGGAAGATGCTATACACTTTTTACTTTTGCCCCTTTTCAGTTTGTGTCATTTTCTTTGGAATACCACCCTCTCCTCTCATTTTTACTCTTTCTAACAGGTCTTTTCTGACACGCTCAGGCAGGATTTTTCACTTCCTCAGGACCTAGTCTACCTTTTCTACATCTAGCCTCAGAACAGTGGATAGCTGGTGAATGACTACTGTCTTAATCAGCAGATGGCTCTAAATTAATCTGATCTGAAATCACTATGTGATACAAATGTGATTGTGAAGCACTGTAAATCATTGTATAGTGATTTAAATAAATTATGGTGATTTATATAAATCATAATCATTAGCTTTAGTTTTAGAGAACCAGTTTTAAGTTTTTTTACTTAGGTAGTTTCAGGACTAAACAGAATTATCTTCCTAGTTAGGATATAACTCCACTAGGACAGAAATAGACCCTTCACATTTGTTTCTTTAGGGCTAGCATAGGGAGGTATTTAATAAAATACTCGTTTTATTATTTTCATTTCCTCACTTGTGAATTGGCCATTTTTAGTCAGTGATTTTTTTAAATTTTATTTATCTATTTATTTATTTTGTCTAAAAGGGTAAGAATTGTTCTTTAGGGTTATATCAGTTTCCTGCTTTTCTTTTGTAAACCTGTATGCACCATCTATATAATGACAATTTTTTCTTAATCTGTTGCTTTTCTTATTACTTTGAAACGTTTTTTATTGTTTCAGAAGTTCATTTTTATTGTAATTGTTGTTATCTGCTTTTTTATTGATAGTCTTTTCTTCCCTCACACATTTAGGATAAAGTTACTATTTTATTTCCATCCAGGCTTCCTAATGTTTTAATTTTCAGTGTTAGGCTCTCTTAACTTATTTGGAGTTTGTTGCTGTATCTGCTATCAAGTAAGAATCTAATCTATTTTTGCTGATGTGGCAGTGTCAAGAAAAGCATGTATTCACTGAAAGCGTGTTTGTTGGGGCTTTTTTTTTTTTTGAAATCTTTACATCATAGTGAGATGACTACTAAATTTCCTCTCAATAAATATTTATTGAACACTACTTTGTATTTGAGTAGAGAGAACAAAGTTCTAGGTAGAGGTTCTAAGTCATGTTTGTCAATGTCCTAATCAGAAGTAAAGGTAAGGCATTTGAGGAATAGAAAGATGGGCAGAGTATAGTGAGCAAAAGGATTGTGGTAGAAGGTAAGAACACACAGATTAGTCAGGACAGGATCATAACTGGACTATGCATACCATGGTAAAGAAATTGTGTACTTTATTCCATGAACAATGGAAAACGATTACAGAGTTTTTGTAAGAGTAGTGATATTCACTAGAGTCTATTCTATTCTTTATGCCAAATAGAGGCACAAAAGTAAGGGATCAAAAGAAGTCAGAAAGAATACCACTTTATTACAAGATGGTAGATTGAGTTAAGGTAATGGCAGAAGAGATAGAGATAAATTAGGATAGATATGATTTATTGATAGATATCTTGGCAAAGTGGGGGTGAGAGAATTAACGAAGGATGACTTCCTCCTTTTGGACAGTTAACAGCTCTCTTTCAAGGGCCATCACATGCAGAATGCGAGCTTTTCCAAACGAAGTTACACCAAGACATTCATTCATATTCAGGGAATACTAACCCTGGAGCAACAAAAGAAGGCTTTAAAAAATATTGAGTGAGCTTCAAGTTCAGAATAGTGATCTGAGCACAAGCTCCATTTCCTCCTGGAACCACTATTCCAACTCCTATTAAAAATTGATTTAAAAAATCCATAATAACACACAAAAGAGGGATCATAAGCAGATGAGTGATTTTTTGACAGATTTCTATAAGACAGTAAACAGATGGAAGCCTGCTGACAGATTAAGCAGAGTGAGGAAGTGGCAACCCAGAGAACATAGGCTCTGAGAAAAAATAGCCAGTCCACCTAACAGATAGCCTCAGAGTCAGGAGGGGTTAGGATAAG